GTATCATAGAATTCATTCCTCTTGCTAGAATGAAATGAGTAATATCACAAGCTTTTAAAAAATTCTTTTTCTTTTTTTTTTAAATTAAAAAAAAGTGTCTTAAATGCCTGAAATATATTTGTGCAATACCTCAATATATTGATAAATTCATTTATAGAGGGAAGAAATGGTGATTTTGAGTATAGTCTCTATTTATGTAAGATTTAAATTTTTGGAAAATATTTGAATCACCATTCAAATTTGAATTATGAAGAAGGGATACAAATTTTAATCACCTTCCCAAAATCTTTCAGAAATATTGCACATGTGTTCAGTAACATTTTCGAAGATAAAAAAACATAAAAAAATTAAAGGCCAACTTCTTATAAGCTTGGTAAAACCAACAGAATTTTTGCATCTGTAAACCTATTCATTGGGATAACTAAAATGAATTTAGCAGTTGCCAGTATCTGTACAATTTGTGATGCTCTCTTTTTGAAGGTCTTTGCTCAATTTAGAATTATTTTTTTTTTTACTGTTGTGCAACATAAGGGAATATGTTCTTTGTTGCTGTCTTTTTTTTTTTTTTTTAAACTTTATTTTCTAACAAAAATTTCGAACCTCTTCAGACATATTTGCCTTCACAATGCTTTGTTATTTCAACCATATGTTTTTAAAGGTTTTTAATTTTTTTATCCTCTTAGCTAACTTTGAATTAAATAAAAACGGAATGAAAGAAAATGGGTGTCTTTATCACATTGCCATTTCAAAAAAAAAAAAAGATCCCTGGCGAAAAGGTTTCACAGCATAATTAGCTTTGTCACAACCATCTTAGATAAATTGAACATGTATCAGTATGACACAACACAACAACAAAGTTACACCTGTAAATCTGACCAGTCTTTGGGGATACATTTACAAGCAGGTAAATTTTGTGTGATGTCACAGTCTTATGTGCACATATAACATAATTGTCAACACTAATGTTGTAGGTTAAATGCTGTACAAAAAACTTTCACTGGTGCTTGACTCCTTTGTTTAAAAGCATTCATTTCATAACTGTACAGAGATTGTGGAGTCTGTACAGAGATTGTGGAGTCTGTACAGAGATTGTGGAGTCTGTACAGATATTGTGGACTCTGTACAAAGATTGTGGAGTCTGTATGGAGATTATGGAGTCATATTTCAATTATGAAATGCTTCAGTGTCACCAAGTGGAGTTTGTTTGGTTTTATTTGCTGATAAAGTGGATTGAAGCATGCAGTTAAACACTACGAAAGACAACTGTACCTTAACCAGAGCCTGTTGAGTTGCAGCGTAAGTTTATGCCGCAGTGAAGAAAGAAATGAAAGAGAAAGATTGAAAATAATTTTATCCCTATGAATACCCACCCTGGACATACCAGCAGCACAAACAAATTATTAAACAGAACTTTTGTCACATGAAGTGCACAAAGGTTAAGGTACCAAAGCTCATTGATACCCAAGAGAACCAATACAAAATTGAAAGCAGAAGGTTTTAAACAATTTGAAACATAGCATCTTTTAATTATTGAGCTGTTGGAAGCTAACCCAAATTGTTTAGTAAAAGACAGTTAAAAATTTTAAAAAGTGTCAAACTCTGTTTTAGTTAAGTTTTATTTCTTGACTAGTTCATTAGGAAAATATTGACCTATAATTGTAGATGGTTTTTAAAAAATTGTCTTTTTCTTCTAAATGAATTATTTAAAGTTTAGGTGTTATTATGAGAGCATGGCATATAAACAGAAATATTTATGAGTAGATTTCAGGTTTTTAATGTTTCTCCTATTCAGAGCCTTGATCAACGTACACAGGATTAAACAAGAAAGTCAAAATTATCTTTTTTTTTTTTTTAAACTTTTATTTATTAAAGTTTCAAATCGCTTGAATGCAACAATACTTGTATTTTTTTTTTAATGAGATAAAAAAACACAAATAAAATAAAATTTTGAGAAATATTCCAGTAAAAATAAAAAAAAAAATTTCCATGCACTTGAAAATGAAAATAAAAACTGAAGAAAAAAAAAAGTCACTGCATATGCCTTCGTTGTAAAAGAAACATTTGCCTGCAAATGTCATGTCGGACATCTTGGATTGCTGGAAAGTTTTTCTGGTAGTGTTTCAAACATTGCTCAATATTCATGGCTTATAAAGTTCTAATGACAGCAATCTTTTTCCAACTGATTCTATGGTAGAAATGGAATTATAATGGCAATCTGCAGGCAAAGTTATCCTTTAAAAGTAATATATTTCTTGAGATAACACTGTATAAATATATAGTATGTATATATATATATTATATATATATTATAATAATTACAATTTAAACATGTCAAACCAGTAATATAGGTTACTTGAAATTAACTGAAAATCAATATAACACATGTTAACTTAGCCAGGTCCAATGAAATGCAATGGACTAGGTGAAAAAATGAAAATATAACTGTTTTGCCAAATTTTTATCTTGTGCAGCTGATATCATAAAAGGGTCACTGACTTACTCCAGTTATTTAATTTTTAAAATAATACATTCATTTGCATCTAATTTAAATGAATGAAAAATGTATAAATTAAAAAAATGAAAATTAGTTGGCCTTTTTATTTATCGTTTATACATTTTTCTTATGCCATAATAAACTTGCGTTATCATTTGTTGCTTGCCTATAATAAATATCACCAAATATAAGTCAAAAAAATATTTTTAAAAAAAATTTTGACATTCAGAAAAAGGTTAAAAGTGCGTAAAACTGTATTTTTGAGTGCTTTATTTAAAAAAAATAATTAATTAACTACCAAAATAATAACTTCTGTCGATACCTAAAAATTATGATACTATTAATACTGTGTTATATTATGATATCACAAATAATTTATATTAACTTATGTATTTTTCTTGGGGATAAATAGGTTAAGGAACATTGCAATTAGGGAGCTAATTCTTAATTTTTTAAAAATATGCTTTAAATAAAAGATTCATTATTAGATACAGAATAAAACTAGTCTAATTTCCTCTATGCGTGTGGATAAGCTGAAGGACTAAGTTTTGATGGGGCTACACATCCATGCACATATTATCCAATGTGTCACTTCAAAGGAAAAAAAAATGAATGTCTTATACATTATCTGGAATGTAAAATAGCAATTTAAAAAAAAAAAAGTTATGCATACAACAATATTTAACAAATTTGCATTGAAGTTGTTTTTCTTCATCAATATAATTACTAAAGGGGGTAAGGTTGCTATGGATTGCTTTGCAATGTGGTTTCCTTTTAAAATATAATATTAACATGCAAAATCATTGTCTATTCTGAGGGAATTATGGGATTTTGGAAGACTGCATAAGATAAAAATCTGGCAACACAAGTACTTGATAATTATATGTATCACATTATGGCAGCATGTTTTCAGTTGCTATGAGTAAAAGCGCAATAAACAAAAAGTAAACCATAATTTATTTACATCTGTATAAATATACAATATTTCATTATTATAATAGCTTGTTGAAACAAAAATCAGATCAAATTTTGTTGTATATTAACAAGCTGATAAATTTTATATTATGTTAAAGTAATAATTTATTTAAAAATAATGAATGGCAAGTTTTAAATGTGTGTTAATCTCTTTTGAGAAAAAGTTTAGAAGGTAATTTAAGTTACGTCATGTTTTATTTTTGGAAGTTAGATAAAGAAATATTTGTGTTTTTTGTGTTATTTGCTTTCTCACATTTTAATGAATAAAAAAACAACAAGTCTGCATATGGATTAAACATAAATTCATATTATGACAGATAACCGCAAATGCAAATGTTTTATTAGTTAGAGATCAAATTATACATTATTCTGCATTTTTAATACTTATATAAATAATTATTTGATATTGCTTGCAATGAAAGAGTTTTCTCTCAGTTTAAAATAAGTTAGCTAATAATATCCTGATTTGAGCATATTGCGGATATGTTTTAAATTTAAATAGTGGCCTTTTTGAAGAAATGGAAAGAAACTAATATTGATATGTTAAATAATAAATACAGAAATATTTATATGAAATATGTTTCAATCAATGAATTGATGAATTAATATTTCTATGACTAGATATGAGCTATGAAATATATTGCACTGGTTTTGTAGCATGAGAACTAGCTTCCATTGTTTTGAACAAAATTCCAGAAAAAGATTTTAAGCTATTTTTCTTTAGTTGTTAAAATTGATACTTTATAATTGTTTTATTTTTGCTTGATCCTCTTTACTTCAATGTTTAGAGATCTTTTGGCTTGATTATTTATAATTTTAGTTATTGTTTGTAGAATCAATAATTTATAAATCATGACCAAGTCATTTTAATTTTGTTTTATTCATATGAAAAAAAAAACTTATGAAAGGTAACAATTGAATGATAAAGTTAATTATTTATTTGTAATTGATTCTAATGTTTTTTTAATCATTCATTTGTTGCAAAGTTAATTTTAGTTTTATCTAGCACTAAAAAACAATGGATTTAAAATATTTTATTGTTAGTATGTCCCTTAATAAATGCAGACTAACAATATAAATATGAGCATAATATTAGCAAATATTTGTCAAGCTTTAAAAAAACAAATAAATGAACCACACCTTTGACTATTTCCTGATATAATAGAACTATTAGTCTTCAACTAAAACCTCAATTACAGTCACATTTTGATTTTTACCATGAACTACAATCCAAAATTTAAAAAAAAAATAATGCAGTTTTAGCTGTTTTCCATCTCTTGCAATCACTCAGGAAGCTAACCAAGGTAACCTGTGCAGAATTTTGTTTAGATTCCCACCCTAAATGTACCTTTGGTAAATTGTGTCATGAGGGTTCTTGGAATACTGCACAGTGTACTTGAGCTGCACCTAGATTTTTTCACCTGTACTGAATAGGATATATGAAGCAAGATTGTTGTACCAACCTAGTGCTGATTAGGTATTGTGCAAGTCCTATGCATTCTGGGGACCCAGTGATGGTCACTTTGCGATCTGAAGATCCATCCTCTGCGTTGGAGATTTTTATATTTGCACCCGACACTTGTCTGAAAATTTTCAAAGGCAAAAGCAAAACTGATTCAATATTCTTTTATCATTTGAAGAGATCTAGTTTTATAGTTCATTTACTCCTTAAAATTAAAAAAACCCACAAAACCAAAAATGTTTTGTGATGAATTTAAAGAGAATTTAAATCTATAAACAAACTTTTATTCAAAATGCAGTGGAGATTTCTCAACAGTTTCATGAAGTAAGTTGAAATGGTTAATTAACTATCAAAAATAAAAAGAATGACTTTATTTTTGAAAATTATTAGTGTATTCTATTTTATTACAGAAAGTATGGCATCAAAGTATGCCACCCCAATTCACATCAATACTCATTTAATGAGAACACATAATCTTTGGTATTTCAATAATTAGGTCTGGGGCTGCCAGTACAACTATGAAACACATAATGGAAAGAGAAAATTTAAAATTGAATTCCTTGAACTCACCTAATCTCGTTGATCTTCTGTCCTCCCCTGCCAATGATGCAACCTATGAGGTCATTTGGGATATTCATTTCCTGAGCCTGCTGGGTGAGGCTGGGGAGGGCTGAGGGTGGACCAGGGTTACCTGGTCTTTGGGTGTACTGAAGGCTGGGGCCTAAACCTGAAAAAGAAAGCATTTTATTCTTGTTTATGTTGTCTTGCTAAACAAAGCCAACTTGTGGAAAAAAAAAAGATGAACAAAAAAAAGGGAAACATAATTTACATCTTCATTTACTAGTGTTTTCTCTACAAAGACCAAAAGAACACTTTAAAATAAATCATGCTATGTTGTTTGAAATATGGATATGTTTTCATGCCTAGGAGAAATAAGTTAAAAAAAACTTAAATACAACTTGCAAACATTGTAGATTTCTTTAGCTTATTCTTGTAGATGCAAACTTATTTTTATAAAATTGGTATCTTTAATCAAACAGTGCTTATTGTTAGTGATACATGCCATCTAAAGTATTTAAAAGTGTCAAAACCCCTTTTGTATCCCCTCATATGACTTCTATGGAAGCTAGACCCCTTTTGTATCCCCTCATATGACTTCTATGGAAGCTAGAGTTCTTAATTGTCTAGTTTGCTTAATCACCTCTGGAATTAAACAGACATAACTTTGTTCAGCCTACCATAAAATGTTCCTGACTCTTTGCTTTTAGTTCTTATTTATTTGTGGGTAAGGGGTGGATGGGAATATATTTAAACATGAAGAGAAAAAAAAGAAGAAAAAAAGTAAGCAGAAAATTTGAATAAAATTATTTTGAAATTGAAAATAGTTTTTTTTTTCGTTTTTTTTTCATGAATGCAGATTTCATTAATTTTAAAGAGGCCCAGAGTGAAAAATAACTAATTAAAGGTCATTCTTAGTATAAAATTTTAAAGAACAATAAAGAAAGCTGGAAATAAATAATGAATGCAATACTGCATGTCCATTGATTTTATAGCATTCCATTTTTAATTTGGTTATTTTTCACAGTATGAGAGATCTTTCAATATGTTGGAATTGTTTAAAATAATAATGTTTACAGTGTTTCATTGGGTAAATATACAGAGATATGTTTCAATTTACTACAAATTTAAAACATTTGTTAATTTAAGCTATAGTAGGGAGGGAATATGTTTAAATTAGAATTATCTTCTTACATCCACGCATTATACATACTATGCCAGTAAGTTTATACATGTATGTGTTAAATACAATTGGACACTATTATTAGGCATTGAAATGTCAGTTAGAGAAATGATAACAGACATTTTGACAACTATTTCAAATTGTTTATTTATTTTCACACCTTCAAAAGAAACATTTTCAAATAAATTTCAATTTTTTTTTTTTTTTTTTTTTTTTTTTTTTTTTTTTTTCTTTATTAGTGAATTTTTTTTTTTTTTCTGTTTTTTTTTTTTTTTTTTTAAACTTTATTTTCTAACAAAAATTTCGAACCTCTTCAGACATATTTGCCTTCACAATGCTTTGTGAATTCAACCATATGTTTTTAAAGGTTTTTAATTTTTCATATGTGACGTAAAACCGGACATATTTCCTACTAAAAATTTTTAATTTTCTTTTGACAATGTTATGTGAATTTAATTTTTAGTTCGAGTTTTGTGTTGTTTTTTCTCCTTTAAAATTCCCTCTGACATAGAAATGACCTTTAACCTATCTTATTCTTTTGGGGTGCTGGGTGAGAGGTCCATTTTGTATATAAAATTTACCTGCCAAACTTCAAAAACTGAATCATAAAATCTAACCAGAGCATGTCAAAGTTTTCTGTATGTGATTGAAAATTGTTTTTTCCGCAAGTCCTTTGTTTACTTTGATAATTTCAGAGTTTTAGTTTGATTTTGAAAGAAAAAAAATATTCATTTTTCTTCTAAATCCTGTCAGGATATTTTTTTTTTTATAAGGGCTATCAATATTTTGAAAACTTTTTATTTTAATATTATTTTTATACATTTTAAAATTTTAGTAAAATGTAGGGCATAATCCACATGTCCCCAGTTGCACATGTAAACCACACTTTTATTTCAAAATAAATGTTAAAGTTAAAGGGAGTTTATTTCTTGAAATTGTTTCTCTGTAATTCTCATAAGGAGGGGTTGTCTGTCCTATTTGAAAATGTATAAATACACATTAATATTAATATTATAAATTTAAAATTAAATTTATTGTGTCTTTTTTTAGAACTTTCATTTCTTTTGGGTACTTCTTGCTATTTTCCTAACACTTGTCTTGGAAATACTGCATACCATGTAGAATATTTTATTAATTGATCTTTATTTAAAGATACTTAAAGAATGGCTGATTTGTAGGATTATATATACAAATGTTCCTTCTTTAGTCATAAAACAATCATTACACATTTGTATGTCAAAAGGAGACCTTTTTAATTTAGTAATTGCTTTATATTGTGCAGCTACCTTTGATTGGTCTCTTTTGTCAGGTACTTTAAAGATTCAAAAGGATCACTCACTTTATTTCAACATGGAATATTTGTTTTTAATCACAATTTTCAGCCAGTTACTGACAATGGTAGTGATTAGATAATTTAAAAATGTGTAAATGCTGTAATATATCAACTATAATTTTCTCATAATCATATTTGATTTAGCTAAGGAGTTAAATTTTGAAACCCAAGTGAAACTCTGTAGTAATTGGGAATATTTGGGAATGTCCATGCTCGGGGTCATACTGAATGTGGTCCATTAAAGAGAGTGGAGAAACATTCAAATGATGTGAAGATGTGTGAATCAAAGCAAGTCTTCTTCTAAATGGAAAATTGTTTTAATAAAAATTCATCAAATGTAACCTTGTTCTTTACTCTTCTCAAAACTTTAACTCACTGTAGTGCATTTCAGCAGCAGTCACAGGCTTGTACTTCTATAGGATATTTGATAAAGTGAATAATTACCACACTAAAGTAAAATTTTATATGATTTTTATTTTTTTCCACCCTGTAAATAAAATGCATTTCATATTTGTATGACAAACATTGAAAATAGGAGAATTAAACACACAAACCACATCATAATATAAGAATAATTATTTTTTAATGATAAATTAACAAAATTTTGAAATTCACCTGGATCTCAGGAAATTAAAATATCTTTCTATTTGAAGAGACCTAAATGAGAAATAACAAAACCCCCTAAAATTGTAATATTTGGTGCATGATTAAAAAAAAAATTAAACAGCTTAACCCAAAGCGGAAAGTGCAGTGTGTGCCAAAAATAACTAGTGAAACTGCCACATCTTGAATGCATATATGCGTTTGTCAATGGTGCATATGTGTTCCCTGGGACAGTTCAGGAAGCTGTGTAGCAGTTGTTTGAAACGGAGGGAAAAAACTTCATAGTTGAGAACTAGTTTCGCTCATATGGACCTGGTCTTGAACGAATGGAGACCAATCAGACATCCCTTTCAGTTGAAGGAGTATCTTCCAGTTGAAGAAATTTTGCATCAATATACTGCATAAATGTGTTACTTGGTGCTGTCTTTAAAACTTGTCTTTAAAAATTGTTTTTACATTTTATTTTCAAACACTCTTCACGACCACTTATATGTGAGTGAAAATATGATCAACTATGATTACTTTTTCCTCACCTATGAATACTTTCCTCTGCCGAGAGACCCATTTTCAACTATAACTGCCTAAATCAGTTGCAAGTGGAGCTATGCCCTGCTGACCAATGCATGTATGCGCTCAAGATGCAGGAGTTTTAGTACTGATACTTTTGGCACATGCTGTACATAAATTTTGTAAAAGTACATTTAATTTATGAGTTGTAAAAATTTATGTATATATATTTACACTGTCATTCTTAAAAATCTCACTTATTACTTATAGTTTATAAGTTGTAAGATAGTGTTTTATACTCTATAGGTTTCAAAGGTTATTAATACAGTGGAATTTTCTGACTAAAATTTTAATCATATTTTGAAAAATTAATGTTGTTGAGTAATAGCTCATACTCATATCAATCTGTTCTCAAAAATATGTTTTTTAGATCAGTTTCCAAAAGCATGGCAGATTTTTATTTGAATTCTTCAAAACTTTAAAAGAAAATAGCTTAGGGCTCATAAGGACAATATATTAAATTTTAAAAAAAGTAAACCTTTAAATTTTTAAAAGGTATTTCCTCAAGAACTATAATAAACTTTGCTTGTATTCTATGACATTTAATTATAAAGTTAGTTTATTTTAAGATTCATAAATTTCATTTTGTACTAACCATTTGCTTTGCACAAACATGTCAAATACTGGTACAATAAAATTGGTTAAAAGTTATTTTGGAGGTTAAGAGAGGCTGGGGACAAAAACAAATTGAAGTTATAAAGTAATGAAAATTCCACTGTATTTCCAATTTACAAAATAATCTACACATTAACTGTTTTGGATTTTAATCTTAAATCATCATACTAAGATCTGGTAGAAATATAAAAATTATAAATAAGAGCAACAGATTCATTTATTCTTTCGATAAAGTAAACATAAATATATAACCAAAAATGCCCTCTCAGGCATGATGTATGCAGAAACCCTTGTGCTCCACTCAATTACTTTTTCTGAATTTGCAAATAAAGATATAATAATTGAGACAACATAGATTGGTATATGCCTTCTTTGTTCACAACATCCAAGTACTCACAGTAATTAATCTAAACAATAAATTGCTTTTTTTTCTCCATGAATTAAATATTAAATATCATGTCTCTTATATTTATTGGTATTAATTTAAGAGCAATGCATTAAAAACGCATCACAATCATAGAAATCACACCTCATCAGCCATGGATAAGTAGACATAAAGTATGAACTAACACACTGTGTTACAGCAGATAACAAGAAGAAACTCAGATAAGAGAAACAAATTTAAAAAGAAAACTTATGGTTAAGTTTTAAAATTTTGTTTATATCAAAATTTTAAATATATATTTTTAAAAAAATTATGTTCAAATTTAGGAAAGATTTCAATCTAAAAACGTGACATTTTATAAGATGTCTGGGTCTATTAAAAAATACTTAGTCTCAATAATAATTAAAGT